TGGAGGTTCTAGTCCCGCCGGAGACCCGAAAGCCGGCTGGGTGACTTGAGGCTGGCCGACTCCTCAGCCCAGCCATCTTCGCGGGACGGTGGCCGTGGGTGAGGAGGGGGAGGGTTTGTGGGGAGGGAGGGGGGAGGAAGAGGCCTATTGGTGTCCCGGCGTGATTGACGAGGGCCAGACGGGACCTCTGGCCTGATGCAAAGGGATCAGCCCGACATTGCTGGCTTGTCCGTCGCAGCCCACCTTGTTGTCCAGGGCGGTGATCTCCTGTTGATTGGCGGTGGAGAGCAGGAAGCTGCTCATCTGCCCTTTGAGGGGGTCTTCCACCTCCACGTCGATGTCGTAGCAGGCCGTCTTCTTCTGGTCGTTGGGGTCCACGCTGAGGGAGGGAGGGAGGGAGGGGGGGCCAAGCATCAGGACCCTCCCCCTTTCCCCCAAAGGCTGCAAAGACCCCCCCCTCCGTCCCCATTTGGAAGGGAATGGATCAGCCTCCGGCTCTCCCACCCGCCGAGGGGGGAGGGACGTTCCTCCCTTCCACCCAAAGCGGGGGTGGGGGAGAGGGGGGGAGGTGGGGGGTGGGCTCGCCTTCCGACCTGATGATGTGGTTGATGACAATGGGATCCGGGGGGAGCAGGAGGTTGGTCAGCCTCTGCGGGATCTCGGAGAACTTCAGCCGGGAGCAGTCAAAGATCTGGAAGGACGTCGGAGGAGGCCATCGGTTCCGGCCCCCCAAACTCCACACCAGTCCCCCCCCAAGGGGCTTCGTTCCTGGGCCACGCAGGACGGGGCGGAGGGGACAGGGCTGGGCCCAGGAGGGCTGCGCTGGGCCTCCCCTGCTCCTCCCCCTCTTCCCCCTTCCCTGGGACCTTCCAGCTTAGCCTGGCCAGGGTTAGTCCCAGCTCTGCCAAGTGGGGAGGGGTCTGGACGCCCACAGCTCTCGCGGCCTGGTCCGTGGGAGGGGTGGGGGAGGGGTGAGTGAGCGGGGAGAAAGAGTCTCCTCACCGCTACCAGCTGGGGACCCAGCACAGGTGAGCAGTTTGCCCCGGCCCTCCTCCTTCCTTCTGGGCAACTCATCAAACGCTCCTCGGCCTCTTTCCGAGGTGCCGTAAAGAAAAGGGAGGCGGGGAGAGGGAGGAAGTCGGGA